CCCCCCCAATCTACCTTCTTACCTTCTACAAGCCCCACTTCTCACTCCCCTTCCCCGAGGTTTGACAAAAAAATTTATTAAAAAAATCATTAAAACGTATATGGATTTGTGTTCATTCCTCCTAATAGACACACATTTTGATACAATTTTTCCTAATAAATTCATTTTCCTAGGCAATTTTCTCTTACATAATGCTTTCGGTGAGCCACCATGGCATAGTGGTTTCACTATTGGATTGTGACTCTGGACCAGGGTTTGATTCCCAGTTCACCCCTGACACTCACTGGGTGACCTTGGGCAAGTCACACTCTCTCAGGGGAAGGCAATGGCAAACACAGATGCTGTAGAGGAACAGTATTCCCTTCATGGCTTGGAGTTTTCCTGGAAGTTTCTGAGTGGCCAGTCTGAGGCTGCATTTGCACTGCAGAAATAATGGTTTACTTTAACTGCCATGGCTCAATGTTATAGAATTCTGGAATTTGGCGTTTTGTGAGATATTTAGCCTTCTCTGTCTGAAAGCTCTGGTGCTAGAAAAAAACTACAAATCCCCAGATTCCATAAGATGGAGCCATGGAGTTAAAGCAGCATCAAACTCCATTCTTTCTACAGTACAGATGAAGCCTTGGAAGCATAGAGTTGGACTAAGTGGCTCATCCATTTGGCCCAGAATGTTCTTCTATTTAGTGTACAGTGCACAAGAATAAAACTTGTAAGGTCCAAACAAGAAGTGTGAAATGTGGAGATTCAGTCGGAGAGCACCTAGAACATTTGGTGACCAGCTCATAGCAAACATTGGTTGCTAGCCACACAATAGTGGCTTTTGTTGTTGTTAACTGCCCTCAAGTCAATCTCAGCTCAAGGCAACCCTATGAATGAAACATCTCCAAGACCCCCTATCCTCCACTGCTCTGCTTAATTCCTGCAACCCCTTAATACCTGTGGCTTCCTTCATAGAGTCAATTCATCTGGCATGGGGCCTTTCTCTCTTCCTACTTCCCTCCACCTTTTCCAGCATTATTGTCTTTTCCAGAAAGTCCTCTCTTCTCATGATGTGTCCGAAGTACAACAATCTCAGTTTGGTCATCTTGGCTTCCAGGGAGGTTTCTGGCTTGATCTGTTCTAGGACCCATTGTCTTTTTGGCTGTCCATGGGATCCCCAGCACTCTTCTCCAGCACCACATTCTCTCAAATGCATTGATTTTCTTCCTATAATCCTATAATCTTTCTTAATTGTCCTCCTCTCACATCCATACATGATAACAAGGAATACAATGGCTTGTATGATTCTAGCTTTTTGTGCTGAGTTGTATATCTTTGCATTTTAGAATCTTTTCTGGTTCTTTTATAGCCACTCTCCCCATTCTTCTTCTGATTTCCTGACTGCAGCCCCCATTTCTATCATTGTTTGATTATGGAATTTAAAGGATTAATGGTGAGAGAAAGAAAATTGGTGAGTGTCTTCTATAAAATGGAAAGGGAAATGACACAAGATATAGAACTCGTTTGTTTTTTTTACTGGCCTTGGCAACCGACTTGTGATAGATAGTTCTAGAGAGGATGAATGCCTTGCTGAGCTTGTTGTATTCTTATGCATGCCATTTTACAGAGTTTTGCCAGCTAAAAGACATCAGTCTCAGCTCCCACTGAGTTTACACACAAACAGCAATGCAGAGAGAAGGGTAATTATAGAGGGGTATAAATGCAGATACAGCTACATGTACAAAATATGATTAGAGTTGAGTGTAAAAATTGAAAGGTTAAGGTATAAATTTATGCTAAACCTGCTGTTTGATGAGGGTTGGCTGCTTCTTGGTTTCATGTGGGTGGAAGACCAGTTTTAACAGCCCAGCTCCAGAGGCTGATGAAACTGGGTGGATTATTGAAATCCCTGGAGGATTTCCCTGTAGATTTCTTGGTCTTTGAATGAGGAAATGAATTATACTAGTTATTGACATGGATGCCTCTAAACCTTTTATTATTATTTTTGCCAAACCATGACTCCTTGAAATTCTGTAGGGATGGAAAGAAGATTTGGAAATGTTTTTTTAAAAGGTTGAAAAAATGTATTTTTCAAATGTTGGGGAAGCCTGATGAGGAGATGCAAATCTTTGCAGTTCAAGATTTATTCTGCACAGAATTCACACATGGTATTTTTGTTGCAGAAAAAAAAACCCACAGCATTTCTGCATGAGAAACACCATTTTTATGAGAAACACCATTTTCTTCACAGATCCGTAAGCCACCAGAAACCATTGTCTGAGATCCAGTGTCAGGAGGCATGCATGTATCACATAGCTACATCTTGGAGAGACAGTGTGATGTAGTGGTTTGGCTGTTGGACTAGGATTCTGGAGACCAGGGTTTGAATCCCTGCTTGGCCATGGAAATCAACTGGAAGACTTTGAACAAGTCACATTCCCTCAGCCTCAGAGAAAGGCAAAGACAAATCCCCTCTGAAAGAAATCTTTCCAAGAAAACCCTATGATACGTTCAACTTACAGTTGCCATAAACTAGAAGCAAACTGAAGCCACATTGCAACAAAAAGAGGGTTTCGTAAATGGCCCATGCCTCCCTTCCAACTCTAGGATTCTATGATCTCCATAGCTATGTTCCCATTGACTACAATATGCATATGTCAGGATTTGCTAGGAGTCCAACCAGAGCATCCTAGTTGTACATTGGAGTTCTCATACAGCATATTGAAATTAATGAGACTCTAAGAGCCCTGGTGGCGCAGTGGTTAAATGCCTGTACTGCAGCCACTCACTCATAGACCACAAGGTTGCAAGTTCAATACTAGCCAGGGCTCAGGCTAGACTCAGGCCTGCATCCTTCCGAGGTCACTAAAATGAGTACCCAACTGTTGGGGGGCAATGAGCTTACAGTTGTAAACTGCTTAGACATCCCATAGCGCAATATTAAGTGGTATGTAAATGAAGCTGCTTTATTCATTGTAAGCAAGAATTTTCCAAAAATGTGCAAATTGGGATGGAAAGAACTTGTTGTTTTGAAGGCACATAACAACAACAAATTCAGTAACAAGATGCCAGCCCACTGATGCCAAGTAGGGGCATACGGTTGGAGTAGAAGCAGAGCAAATGCCACTACTGTGAAAAATGAAGGAACTCCTGCTCAGATGGAGCACTTAGTGACTATCAGAGATCAACAACACTATAGGGGGCAACAGTAAGGTTTGAAATTGATGGTGCTGCATAGCTATTGGTGAAGCAATTTGTACAACTAATTATAATGTAACAAAGAAAAAAAACTAGGGTTCATTCCACTTGGTGATTCTGAGTCTTATGCTAAGTCATCTTATTTGCCTATTCAGCCTGGTTCTTTCTGCTCTCCCTGGAAGCCCATCTCCAAAATCTAAGGCTGAGAAGGTCTTTGTCATCACCAGCTGTCTCCTCCTTTCATTTGGAGGTGCTGGGCATTAAAATCAAGGCTGTTCTGAATGCAAAGTGTATGGTTTGTGAAAGTTCTGGCCTCTCCCTTTAAAAGAAGGACCAAGCAATTTGCATATGTGTGTGTGTGTGTGTGTGTGTGTGTGTGTGTGTGTGTGTATAGGTGTAGCAATAAATATTAGCCATGGTGACTAAATGGAACCTCCAATTTCAGAGGCAGATTTTGGGGGGGAACATCAAATTCTTCCTTCCTCTTCCTCCTCCTGAACCATACAAAAGTAAATATACATGAGTAAAAATGCATATCAATGGGTGTCAGTCACTGTGAAACCCAATGAAGGATGGGGGTTCCAATGTCAGTGGAGCAGTGAATCTGCTCTACATTTTAAGCAGAACCTCAAAGGAGAGACCTGAGATGCTGAATCTATTGTGAGGATACCTTTCAGCACCATGGACAGCTCCCCTCTTCTCTAGCTCCTTTGGTATTTTTACAATAAAACCTAGACAAATGCAACATTCCTCTGGTATTGATGTAGTGGTTTGAATGTTGGATTATGACTCTGGAGAGCAGGGTTCAAATCCCCACATGGCCATAAAAACTCACAGGGCAACCTTGGGCAAGTCACAGTCATTCTGCCTCATAAGTGAAATAGATTTTTCATAAGCAGTACAAGAAGTAGGAGTAGAAGATTCTTTTGAGAGTTCAGCTTCTCTGATCATGGTAATGTTTGCCAGGGGCAAGAGTAAACAAATGATAAAAGTCTACCGATGACTTGCTAGTTGACGAAAGCATTTGTCCATGGCTTTATGACCTTTATGGATGTATCTGTGCTTGTGAACACTCATCTCCTGGTGGTACTTGGGAAGCAAGTTTGTACAGAAAAAAATTACATTTCTTTCTTTTAAGAATGTTGAATAGTCACAATCTTTCTGCCTCATAAGTAAAAAATAATTTGAAGGCAAACAACACACACACACTGTCCAAGGTTCTGAATTTAGTTTAGGGCTGGAGCTGGTGCATCTCCCAGTAGTGTCAGAGCCACCAGCCTTCTGTTTGTGTACATTACAGTGTGTACATTTGGAAAATATATATATCAAATATATATTAATATGTGTAGAGAAAGAGAAAAAAAAGATCTGTAACCTGATAGTAAAGAAAAAGGAGGGGAAACTACATGCTGGCTTGGGAGAAAAGCAACTAAATCAAGACTGAGATATTTTCATAGCCATGGGCAGTTGCTACATCTTTTCACATGGTTCATGCACACATGTAAGGGTATTGCCTTAAGATTTACAATTGGAAAGAGGAAGCTTCCCTGTCGCTATGCATCTGTGTATTGAGGAATGCTAATAAGTTTCTGAAGAGACCCAGAATTCTGATATGAACTTTTCCCAAAAAGATGCTACATAAATCTTGCTGTTGTTAAAGTAGTTATTCATTTCAGTAAAACAAACGTCTGAATATTCTGCTTTTCAGAGTGTGGACATGGAATTGCTAATCACTGGTTTGTCTTCTGATATATTATTATTTCTATTTACGAATATCATATTTAGGATAAACAGAAAATGTGGATGACATTTAGACATATTTTTCTGAAGCTGATAAGTCTCTGTCCAGAGAAGTTTCAACAAGTGCTGGCTTCAGTTTCACAATTATGGGTTTGCTCGGCAAGGAACTGGAAGTAATTGCAAACTCAATTCTAAAAGAGAAATAAGATCAAGTTATTTTGCAGAAAAGTGATGTATGGAATTATTTTGTCAGTCATACCCACTCTGGAGAGCATAATTACCATGTAGTTAATAAGCAGCTATAATGACCATTAGGCATTCATAACCTACTTTTAAAATCCATGTGCAAGAATGGGAATCAAACAATGCTGCTAAATATGCAGGCATGTGCTCAGTACCATTAAATGATCCCCTAATCATTTTGCTCCGTTGATGTTTGCAAATGGCTTGAATGGTCATAATCTGGTGGGTCAGAGAGGTGGGAAACCTTGAATAATGAGATGTTTAGATAATGTTGCATGTTCTTTACTGATTACAGTGTCTAACTTCGAAAGAAAGACCAGAAAGGAAGACACAGTCAAGGTGTACAATATTATACATGGCATGTGAAGAAACTGATAAAGAGGTGGCTTTATTCTTCTGTCATAATACTAACGCCTAATGTCTTTTCTTTGTAATTTAATAGATTTTTCATAAGCAGTAGAAGGAGTAGGAGTAGAAGATTCTTTTGAGAGTTCAACCTCTCTGATCATGGTAATGTTTGCCGGGGGCAAGAGTAAACAAATGATAAAAGTCTATTGATGACTTGCTAGTTGACGAAAGCATTTGTCCATGACTTTATGACCTCTATGGAAATATTTGTGCTTGTGAACACTCATCTCCTGGTGGTACTTGGGAAGCAAGTACAGTACAACAGTTTGTGCAGAAATAATTACAGTTCTTTCTTTTAAGAATGTTGAATAGATCAATTCGGATGTATACTTCCATCAACTCCATATCCTGCAAATAGGGAGAGAAATTTGAACTTAATTTGTGGGTTTCTTTTCTTCTCAGGCCAGCTATCTGAGACATTTCCAAAGAAGGCAAAATATCATGAAGACTCCTGAAAGTGTTTGGGGCAGAAGTGGTGAAACTGAGGCAGCCCTGCAAGACCATTTCTGAGACCACCAAGGGCCCCCCAGATCATCACATTGAATAGAATGAACTTGTTATTTATCTGAGATATGCAGATGACACCATAATACTAGCAGAAAACCTCACAGACCTGGAACACCTACTAAGGAAAATCAAAGAAGAAAGTGCTAAGGCAGGCTTACTGTTGAACATAAGGAGAACAAAAATATTGACTACCGAGGACCTTTACAAGTTCAGCCTAGAAAACGAAGAAATAGAAATAGTAAAAGAATTCCCATACCTGGGGTCAAACATTGATAGAAATGGGGACTGTAGTCAGGAAATCAGAAGAAGACTAAGAATGGGGAGGGCGGCTATGAAAGAACTAGAACAAAATCTAAAATGCAAAAATATTCAACTCAGCACAAAAGTTAGAATCATACAAGGAATCATATTCCCTATTACCGTGTATGGATGTGAGAGCTGGACAGTGAAGAAAGATGATAGGAAAAACTCCTTTGAGATGTGGTGCTGGAGAAGAGCGTTGAGGATCCCAATGGACAGCCAAAAGGACAAACAAATGGGTCCTAGAGCAGATCGAACTGGAAACCTCCCTGGAAGCCAAGATGACCAAACTGAGGCTGTCTTACTTTGGATACATCATGAGAAAAGAGGACTCTTTGGAACAAACAATAATGCTGGGGAAGGTGGGGGGAAGTTGGAAGAGAGGAAGGGCACATGCCAGATGGATGGACTCTATTAAGGAGGTCATGGATATTAAGCGGTTGCAGGATTTAAGCAGAGCAGTGGAGGACAGAGGGTCATGGAGACGTCTCATCCATAGAGTCGCCATGAGTCAAGATAGACTCAAGAGCAGTTAACAACAACAACAACAATGCTGCAAGGCAGCAGCTGTCATAGTTTAGCTACACAATTGCATCTTCACGCAGTAACTCAAAAATCATTCAAACTAATATAAACACTCTAATGGAGACTAATAAAAAGAATGTCTTTCGATCTCCCACGCATCAAAGAAACTGCATGGTTTCTTATCCTTTGGACACAAGAATGAGGCAAGTGAGGGTTTATATTCCTGGTGGATGCCAGGGGAGGAACAAGCTATAGCAAGACTTCCAGAAATAGGAAAAGATACTTTTGTGGGCAACAATTACAGGAATCTTTCAGCCACAGTAGTCTATGCATATGCTGTCTTGGGGTTTTCTTGAAGTTGATGTCAAAAAAGCTAACCTTTCCAAAGTGGCCATGGGAACAGATAAGCTGGGAGTTCCTTCTCCATTCTTTCATAACATCCTCTGAATAGGCAGAAGAAAAGAGAGATCAATGTATACCA